AATTTGGGGGGGGGGGTTGTGCTACGATGGGGGATTAGGAGAGGGAAATTTGTGCTAGGATGGGGGATTGGGAGGGATTTGTGCTAGGATGGGGGATTGGAGGGATTTGTGCTAGGATGGGGATTGGGAGGGATTTGTGCTAGGATGGGGATTGGGAGGGATTTGTGCTAGGATGGAGGGGATTGGGAGGGATTTGTTCTAGGATGGGGGATTGGGAGGGATTTGTGCTAGGATGGGGGATTGGGAGGGATTTGTGCTAGGATGAGGGATTGGGAGGGATTTGTGCTAGGATGGGGCATTGGGAGGGATTTGTGCTAGGATGGGGCATTGGGAGGGATTTGTGCTAGGATGGGGGATTGGGAGGGATTTGTGCTAGGATGGGGGATTGGGAGGGATTTGTGCTAGGATGGGGGCATTGGGAGGGATTTGTGCTAAAATGATGGTGGGGATTGGGAGGGATTTGTGCTAGGATGGGGCATTGGGAGGGATTTGTGCTAGGATGGGGCATTGGGAGGGATTTGTGCTAGGATGGGGGATTGGGAGGGATTTGTGCTAGGATGGGGGCATTGGGAGGGATTTGTGCTAGGATGGGGCATTGGGAGGGATTTGTGCTAAAATGGGGGATTGGGAGGGATTTGTGCTAGGACGGGGGATTGGGAGAGGGGAATTTGTGCTAGGACGGGGGATTTGGAGAGGGGAATTTGTGCTAGGATGGGGGATTGGGAGAGGGGAATTTGTGCTCAGAGGGGAAATTTGAGGTTAGAGGTTTTGAGCTAGGAGGCTCAAAACGTTTTTTTTTTTTTTTGGGGGGGGGGGGGGGTCTTTGCTGACACATATAATGCTCAGACATCTTGGGGGAGGGGCGGGGCGGTGCTCAATGTGTCCTGTTCACCCTGGGCTCTGGAAGGCCATGTCCCAGCACAGGTTCACTTCGCTGTATTGTACTGTACATGGCCCTGGGTGGGTGACCCCTGAGGCGGCCATTTCCTGGTATTATTATCGGGGGGTGGGGTTATATAAGTCGTCTAACCATTTGTTGGACAGACATCAGCCGACCCATCTCCGTGTATGCAGTCTGGTGTAGCGGCAAGATCTGTCTCCCATGAAGATCTGTCCCCCTTGAAGCAACTGTGCGTGTCACGGTTTTAGGCATAAGAGCCGATCGCCGATCAACAACCATAGCACAGAGCTGTCACAGTTAACCCCTTTTCTGCTGCACTGCTGATTACACTGACACGCACCGCTGATCCCACGGATCACTAGCCGCCGATGCTCCAGCAAGATGGATCAAAGATGCGTATTGGGGAGCATCATGACAGCTAAATGGGGGGGGGGGGGGTTGTGACATGGTAAGTACAGTCACATGTGGGGAGGACTGTGACATGGGGAGAACACTGTGACAGGGGGACAGTGTCATGTGGGGGGAGGACAGTGGAGTAGGGAGCTGACATGAGGAGGACAGTGACATGTGGTGGGGTCAATGACATGGGGGGGCCATGACATAGGGAGGACAGTGACATTTGGGGGGGTCAGTGACATGGGGAGAACAGTGACATGTGTGGGGGTCAGTGACATGGGGGGCCGTGACATGGAGGGTTCAGTGACATCGGGGGGCCATAACATGTGGGGGGGCAGTGACATGGGGGGGCATGACATGTGGGGGGCCAGTGACATGAGGGGGGGACTGACATGGGAGGACAGTGACATGAGGGAAGGACAGTGACATGGGGGGGGGGGGAAATGACATGGGAAGGACAGTGACATGTGGGAGGAGGACAGTGGGGGGGCCCTGACATGGGGAGGACAGTGACATGTGGTGGGGTCAGTGACATGGGGGGGGGCTGTGACATGGGGAGGACAGTGACATTTGGGGGGGGGACAGTGACTTGGGGATGACAGTGACATGAGGGGGGAAGTGACATGGGGAAGACACTGATATGTGGGGGGGGGTTCAGTGCAATGGGGGGGGCATGACATGCGGAGGACAGTGACATGTGGGGGGCCAATGATATGGGGGGGGGAACTGACATGGGAGGACAGTGACATGTGGGGGGCGGACAGTGACATGAGGGGGGGGGAATGACATGGGAAGGGCAGTGACATGTGGGGGGAAGACAGTGGGGGGGGCTGACTTGTGGAGAACAGTGACATTTGGGGGGTCAGTGACATGGGGAGGACAGTGACATGAGGGGGGGAGTGACATGGGGGGCTGTGACATGTGTGGGGGGGGTCAGCAACATGTGGAGTACAGTGACATGTGGGGGGGGGGGGTCAGTGACATGGGGAGGACAGTGACACGAGGGGGGGGCAGTGACATGGGGGGCCTGACATGGGGAGGACAGTGATATTTGGGGGGGAGTGACATGAGGGGGGAGGGAGTGACATGGGGAGGACAGTGATATATGTGGGGCTGCGACATGGGGGAGGACAGTGACATTTGAGAGGGTCAGTGACATGGGGAGGACAGTGACATTTGAGAGGGTCAGTGACATGGGGAGGACAGTGACATTTGGGGGGGGAGTGACATGAGGGGGGGGGGAGTGACATGGGGAGGACAGTGATATATGTGGGGCTGCGACATGGGGAGGACAGTGACATTTTCAGTGACATGGGGAGGGTGACATTTGAGAGGGTCAGTGACATGGGGGGGAGGACAGTGACATGAGGGGGGGGGGAGTGACATGGGGGGGTGACATGTGGGGCTGCGACATGGGGAGGACAGTGACATTTGAGGGGGTCAGTGACATGGGGAGGACAGTGACACGAGGGGGGGATTGGAGGGCAGTGACATGGGGAGGAGTACATGAGGGGGGGGCAGTGACATGGGGGGACAGTGACATTGGGGGCAGTGACATGGATGACACAGTACTGTGGCATTGGGGGGCAGCCATGACATGGGGGGCAGTGACATGGGGAGGACAGTGACATGGGGAGGACAGCGCAAAATATGATGTGGCGCTAATACCATGTGAAACCCACACACACGTGAATACAAAATAGTAACAATATAGGAAAAATAAAAAATCTGAATAAACAAATCATGCGAGGTGATAATAATGACAAGTGCCACTCACACCAACCTGTGTACAAATACAAAAAATTAAAGTGCCAAGAAAAAGTCCAAAAGGGACCAATGAATCAAAAGTGCCCAAAAAGATCCTAATTGGATCTAAAGGTGATGTGAAAATAATACCGTATGACAAGAAGTCCAAAGTAGGACTGCACATAAAAGTGCTAACCCCCCCCCCCCCCCAAAAAAAAATGCACTATGGCATAAATTCCCAAATCCACATAGAAACAATGTGACACACAGAACTAACATAACGCACCTGTCAGGAATGGTCTTATCTCTGGTAGTGCTAGGGCTTACCTGCTTTTGTGGGCTGCAGTACCAGTGCTGGCCAGCAGGTGCTCTCAGCAGCCAGTGTCTCACTCCTGCAATCAGGCCATCACCTGAGGCTGATTGCAGGAGGTGTATTAAAGCAGGACCAGGCCTGCAGTCAGTGCCTTGGTGTATTGCTCCCTTGTGCCCTGTATCCTGCCTCACTGATGCTCCTGCTGGACTCTGACACTGCTTAAACTCTGCCCGTACTGACCCTGGCTATTCCTGACCACTCTTCTGCCTGCTCCTTTGTACCTTGTCTGCCCGTTCGCTACTGACCCGGCCTGCCTGACTACGTTTGTGCTCCATACATATTTATATCAGTTAAGGTTTGGGTTTTGTTTGCACTTCGTTGTACATATTTATATTAGTTTAGGTTTGGTTTGTTTGCACTGCGTTTGTATTGTATTACCTTTAATAAATGATATTGTTTTACACCTTACCTGAAGCCTTTCTCTGTGTCAGTTCACACATCTCTGGTCATACCCGGATCCCTGACAGCACCTAATTGGTGCATGCGTGATAATAAACAACAAACAATCACATAAACGTGCATCAAAACACAGAAAAAACGCATACCACTAAATGTGTATATTGAACACAAATTGCAAATGAAAAGTCCAGTGTGGTGATTAACACCTGAAATCTTTATAATAATAAACGCTTTGTGACGGGCAATCATTCCATCATGAAACATAAGTAAACACTTTCATAGTGTAATACCACTTATTAAAGGAATATGGCGTCCAGACCGGAAGTGCGTCACCACATGCCGACGCGTTGCGTCTACAGTCTGTGTTCATTTGGGGAGCCATGTCATCTGCTGGTGTTGGTCCACTGTGCTTCATTAAGTCCAGGGTCAACACAGCCGTCTACCAGGAGATTTTGGAGCACTTCATGCTTCCTTCCACAGACGAGCTTTATGGGGATGCTGACTTCATTTTCCAGCAGGACTTGGCACCTGCCCACACTGCCAAAAGCACCAAAACCTGGTTCAATGACTGTGGGATTACTGTGCCTGATTGGCCAGCAAACTCGCCTGACCTGAACCCCATAGAGAATCTATGGGGCATTGCCAAGAGAAAGATGAGAGACATGAGACCGAACAATGCAGAAGAGCTGAAGGCCGCTATTGAAGCATCCTGGTCTTCCATAACACCTCAGCAGTGCCACAGGCTGATAGCTTCCATGCCACGCCGCATTGAGGCAGTAATTGTTGCAAAAGGGGCTGTCACGGACTGTCAGTGCCTCTCCCATCCCCCGCCATATCCCTCCACCCCTCCATTCCCCCTTGTACATTCCAAGGTCTGTGGGGCTTCCATGGACAGGGCTGGGCCGGCCGTTGCCAAGGCAACCTAGCCGCGTCCCACATGATCTTCAAGAGACCCACACAGGAAGCAGCCCTTCTTTTTTTGTTCCTGTCCATGCTGCTGGAATCATCTTGCTTCCAGAAAGATGCTGGGAGGCTCGGATGAGGGGGACCGAGCCTCCCCAGCCATCCCCCCTGTGCACTCTGCAGACCCCCAAAAGGTCAGGACTGTAGCCCTCTGCATACCCCAGGGTTGGGAGTCTCCACAGCTCTGCATGAGCCTTCTCCTCAAAGTTCAGACCCCACAGCTGAGACCCTGCCCAGTGGTAGGTTGCCGCCTGTTGCCCGAGGCCCCTGCCCAGTGGTAGGTTGCTGCCTGTTGCCTGAGGCCCCTGCCCAGTGGTAGGTTGCCGTCTGTTGCCCGAGCCCCTGCCCAGTGGTAGGTTGCCACCTGTTGCCGAGCACCTGCCCAGGGGTAGATTGCCGCCTGTTGCCCAAGGCCCCTGCCCAGTGGTAGGTTGCCGCCTGTTGCCCGAGACTCCTGCCAAGGGGTAGGTTGCCACCTGCTGCCCGAGGCCCCTGCCCAGTGGTAGGTTGCTGCCTGTTGCCCGAGGCCCCTGCCCAGTGGTAGGTTGCCATCTGTTGCCCGAGGCCCAGTGGTAGGTTGCCGCCTGTTACCCGAGTCTCCAATCCGCTGTCCAGTCACGGAGGGAGCTCGGCTGAGACCCCAAGCCTATGGGGGAGACTGCCTGCCTGTCGCTGAAGACCCCCCGTGCCTGGAATCGTCCCTGGTTTGCGCACACATCACCCTCCCTGCCATTTCCCCATTGAGTGTCTGTCCTTTTGTTGCTTCAATAAAGTTTTGTGTGTTCCCCATCTTTTCCGTGTGCTCTGTCCTGCCTGCGCTTCTGTTACAGGGGCCCAAACCAAGTACTGAGTACATATGCATGCTTATACTTTTCAAAGGTCCGATATTGTTCTATGTACAATCCTTGTTTTATTGATTGCATGTAATATTCTCATTTTCTGAGATTGTGGATTTGGGGTTTTCATGAGCTGTAAGCCATAATCATCACAATTATGACAAATCACGGCTTGAACTATCTTGCTTTGCATGTAATGAGTCTATCTCATATATTAGTTTCACCTTTTAAGTTGCATTACTGAAATAAATGAACTTTTGCATGATATTCTAATTTTTCGAGTTTCACCTGTATGTCAGATTGTATCTCTTTCACATCTGTGGTAACGCTTGCCGCCCACTGAAAAGCGATCTGTGATCACTTTTCAGAGGGTGGTATAGCAGCAACTGAGATGCTTTCAGGTGGGTGCTACCACCACCTCCTGATTCCTGTTTTTTTTTACCTTTTTTTTGCTGAATGTCAGTTTCACATTGCAGGACTGTGCTGCGACTGTGAGCTAGGCATTTGTCTCACAATTACAGAGCAGCCCCATTCTCCTCCATGGGAGAGTTTGACCAGCAATGCCGGCTGTCAGACTCTGCAGTCTTCAACATGCAGCAGCTGCAGAGTAAAGCATGATTGGGCATGGAGCCAGGGGTGGCGGTAAAACTGCGGCTCAGCAGCCCCCATGTGAAAGAGCCCTTGGAGGTGATGGACGGAAATGGCTGGGCAGATATGTCTGTAAATGCGAGAGAGAGGCGCATTCACTGACCCCCTGAGCTGCAGTGACACCCACATACTGCAAATGCAACAGCTGCATGGGGCACAGCCATCCCGGCCTACTCTCTGCTTGCAAACTCCAGCCGGCTCCTGGAACATTCACCCCCCCAATACTTTTAGCAGCTTCATTTCTGCCCCCCTCCACACTCACCTCTCCAGCTGAAGCCATCCAGAGTTTACAGAGCATGGCGGGGAGAGGCAGAAATCTTCTTTCCTCCCTCTGCATACAAGGAATGTAGAGATATCGGTAAGGATCGCTGGTGGGGGAGACGTGGGGGAGGGGGGGTTGTTTCAGGACCCCGGTGAGTAGTGTTAGCATGAAAGCAAATTCCTCTAGGCAGTGCGGACGGAGCACACAGTTGCAGCTTCCCCATGTGTCTGTTATTTGGACGTAGGTGCAGGAGCCACCCGCAGCGCTTCACTGTCTGTGACCTGCTTTGATTTTTGGGAGGCTGCCCGGGACAAGGACCTCTCGGGACAGCGTTCAAAAATCTGCGAGTGTCCTGGGAAATTCATGAGAGTTGGCAACTATGCAGGTCTATGGAGACAACCCCTCCCAATCCCCCCTCATAGCACAAATCCCCCCCTCTTAGCACAAACCCTCCCAATCCCCTCTCCTAGCACAAATACCCCCTACCAATCCCCCCCCTCCTAGCACAAATTCCCTCCCAATCCCCCCTCCTACCACAAATCTCCCCTCCTAGCACAACCCCTCCCAATCCCCTCTCCTAGCACAACCCCTCCCAATCCCCCCTCCTAACACAAATCACCCCTCATAGCACAACCTCCCCCAATTCCCCCCTCCTAGCACCAATCTCCCCTCCAAAGAGAGAGGAGGAGGTGGAGGAGGAGGATACATTGTTGCAACCGCTATAAATGTCAAGGAACTGTCAAAGAAATAGCAGAGCTCTCTGCAGGGACACTTTTTGCCGGCTGTAGACGGGATGAAAATCGGCCGATTTTCGACCCATCTATGGCCTGCATAAGTGGAGCCATTGGGACCAGTGATTTCTGATTCCTTGTGGTGTGGGACACCTGCTGTAAAAAGAGTTGAGGCCCCTAGGGGTCAAGTTAAGGAGGTACTCTAGATATTTAAGGAATGACACACCAGAGTGTCGCGCGAGCACTCATTTAGATTGGAGTGGAGAATTGAAGCACTTTATTTTGCATACCAACTTTTGCACGTATTGGTTTGCACTATATTGTGGACTTTATCTTTGGTATTTGATAATTATATTCATATATATATATATTTGTGTGAATTTGTGGTTTATGAGCACCAGTCACTTTAATATAGAGCATATTGAGTGATATACCACTTATATTCCCTTTATGACCATTGGGGGTTTTTTATTTTGGCACCTTTTGTGAGGTCAGTTGACCGGTTGTTTGCACATGATCACAAGTGTGGATTTTTAGCACCAGTCATTGTGATTTAATACTGTGTTTATTAACTATGTACATTTATGTGTTTATTCATTTATATTGCACTTTTTAATTATCACAGTTTAATATTGAATATGGATTTACATATGTAATGATTGCCATATATACATAGCGCTTCACCATTATTGCATACACATTTTATATACAACTACAGAGATCAGACCAGAATGAGGGACAAATGAGGAGTACAGAGAGCAGAGGGGCAGGGGGACAGAAGGACAGAGGGACAGAAGGACAGGGGGACAGAGAGATGGAGGGACAGAGGGGTAGAAGGACGGAAGGACAGAGAGATGGAGGGACAGAAGTAAGGGTAGAGGGAGAGACTGGGAAACAGAGGGGCAGGGACAGTGGGAAGGACAGAAGGGGCAGGAGGACAGAGGGGAAGGAGGACAGAGGGGCAGGGGACAGAGAGGGAGGAGGACAGAGGGGCAAGGGGACAGAGAGGGAGGAGGACAGAGAGGCAGAGGGGCAGGAGGACAGAAGGATAGAGAGACAGAAGGACAGGGGGACAGAGAGATGGAGGGACAGAAGGACGGAAGGACAGAGAGATGGAGGGACAGAAGGGCAGAGGGAGAGACTGGCAGGGGGACTGGGAAACAGAGGGGCAGGAGGACAGTGAGGGAGGAGGACAGAAGGACAGGGGAACAGAGAGGGAGGAGGACAGAGGGGAAGGGGACAGAGAGGGAGGAGGACAGAAGGGCAAGGGGACAGAGAGGGAGGAGGACAGAGGGGCAAGGGGACAGAGAGGGAGGAGGACAGAGAGGCAGGGGGACAGAGAAACAGGAGGACAGGGGAACAGAGGGGCAGGAGGATAGAGGGGCAGGGGGACAGAGAAACAGGAGGACAGAGGGGCAGAGGAACAGAGGGTTAGGGGGACAGAGGGGCAGGGAAACAGAGGGGTAGGGGGACAGAGGGGCAGAGAGGCAATTGAGGACAGAGGGCCTTGTTCGGAATCGGTGACAGTTGGGAGGTATGAAGCACCTGTGGTGCGTTTTGCAGCGACTGCGGTGCAACTCAGGATTATGGGCTAAGGGTGGTGATTTCTGCCCGCGATTCAAAATTGTGAATGTTATTTGTTCATTTTATGTGTAGGCTGTAGCGGCAAGATCTGTCTCCCTATGTAGATCTGTCCCCCTGAAGTGAAGACATACATTGTACAACCCGATACTGTAGCCATTTGAATATTCCTCCGTGTACTCTTATTGGCTCCTCTCTTATTAAACCCCAGCCAATCACCGGAGCCCAACCAGAGCCCCACTCAGCCACTCACATGACGCTTTACAGTTTACTAGCTTCATTTGAACTCAAGCCCCGCCTCCTCCTTGGCATGTTTTGGGCAGGTGGGCGTGGTGCTAGACTGCTCTCTGGCGAATAGCATGAGCGAGGGACTTCCCTTTGACCCAATGGCTTTCTCCGTGGCCGGAGTGGGCGGGCGGAAGGTTGTAGTGTCGGGGACGGCGCGGTGGTTGAATCGTTATCCCTGAAGTGAGGAGACATGTGCCGGGCACTGATCACCGGGTGACAGGTCAGTGTGCCCCGAGGTGGGGGGAGAGACGGGGGGCTGCAACGAGAGGACGGGACGTATGATAGGCTCCTACGATCTGATCTCCGCTTTGTTCAATGCTCCTCCGCTGCTGGATCGCTGCACAGATGGGATCGGAATGGTCCTGAAGGAGCTCATCGGCCTTTATATCATTCCTCCTGCTCGGTGCTCTGCGCATCTAAACCTCTGTATTGGAATGGATTTAAAGGAGCAGTCACACATGGGGAATAAACAATGGATCACACTTCAATGTGTGTGTATAGGGGTCTCCAACATACAATGTAGGGGGGTCTCCCAACATCACACTTCTATATACAGGAGGGGTCTCCCAACATCACACTTCTATATATCACACAGGGACAGTGATAATGGGGTGTGGTTACATAGCACTCAATATGGTTCACCATGTCAACGCCGGGCATTTAACCCCTTCCTTACAGTTTTCTGCTGTCAGCACTGTTGTACTTGGAATAACAATTGTGCGGTCATGCAACACTGTACCCAAACAACATTTTCATCCTTTTTTTTTTTAGACTGATAGTGCTTCTTTTGGGGGTATTTAACCACTTGCCTACCGGGCACTTATACCCCCTTCCTCCCCAGGCCAATTTTCAGCTTTCAGCACTGTTGTACTTTGACAATTGCGCGGTCATGCAGCATTGTACCTATATGACATTTTTATAATTTTTTCACACAAATAGAGCTTTCTTTTGGTGCTATTTAATCACCTCTGGGGGTTTTCCTTTTTGCTCTATAACCAAAAAAATGAGCAAAACATTTGAAAAAAAAAAAAAGTTTCTTTGTTTCTATTATAGCATTTTGTAAACAGGTAATTTTTCTCCTTGACTGATGTGCATTGATGTGGCGGCACTGCTGGGCACAGGTGGGCGACACTGCTGGGCACAGGTGGGCGGCACTGCTGGGCACTGATGATCAGTGCCGATCTATTCGCTGACAATTTCCAGTTCTCAGCAGTACTTTCCTAACGCTGTGACAACATGAAGAAAGTTTAGCCGATAACCAGCAACTGTATTTACCTGGTGTGATTGGCCTTTTACCACATCACGTGATCACGGAGATCGCCAGGTGCATGCGCCGTTGGGGGCACGCGTGAGGGCACGCTCTGG